CCAGCCTAATTTTTGTATTTTTAGTGGAAACGGGGTTTCACCATCTTGGCCAAGCTGGTCTTGAACTCCTGACCTTGTGATCTACCTGCCTCAGTCTCCCAAAGTGCTAGAATTAAAGGCGTGAGCCACCGCACCTGGTCTATGCTATATATGTATATTTAAACTGTAGTTCAGAAAGAGAAATATATTACTAGCCTCATCACAGCAACAAAATTATTCTAAAATCTAGATTTTTCATTTTTGCTTTTAAATGTCCTCTCCTTCCTGTACTCCTCTCACTCTCTACCTTTAACAGTCACAGTTGCAAAAAAAACAAAAGCAAAACCAAAACCTCTTCATTTTGTTACTTATGACAGCCTTCATAGAAAAACCAATGGAAGGAAGAAATGAAAGGCATATACATTTCTATTTTTTCAATTCCAGACATAAAACTAAACATAGAAAGGAAGACGAAACAGTCACTAAAACCCTTAGGCTTCCTTTCAACAATTAATCCTTAATTAATCCAATTAATTCTTAAGAAGTTTGCTACACAATTACAGATTTAAAGCTCTTTATATTAGTTTAACATTTTATACTTAAATATTCAAAAAGTACATAAAATATACACGTATTTGTATAAAACAATAATTAATAATTAAAAGCAAACACCAAGTCCAGAAATAGAAGCCAGCATCACAGAAGCAGAAGAAATCTCCTTAAACATACCTCCCCCATGCCCGTCTTCAGTTATTACAGCTTTAATGTAAATTTCACAAGTTAACACGCTATGAATGAAATAAAACAGTGCCACAGGTGGTGTAAAAGAGGAAAATTTGGCTGGGCGCGGTTGCTCACACCTGTAATCCCAGCACTTGAGAGACCAAGGTGGGCAAATCACTTGCGGTAAGGAGTTTGAGACCAGCCTGGGCCAACATGGTGAAACCCTGTCTCGAAAAAATCCAAAAACTACCAGGGTGTGGTGGCACACGCCTGTAGTCCCAGGTACTCAGGAGGCTGAGGCATGAGAAATGCCTGAACCTGGGAGGTGGAGGTTACAGTGAGCCAAGATCATGCCACTGTACTCCGCCTGGGCAACAGAGTGAAACCTTGTCTCAAAACAAACAAAAAATAAATTTGAAATAAAAATTTGTCAAATCCTTCTAATAAACAATGTTTAAGAACCCTTGATTTGGGCCAGGCACAGTGGCTCATGCCTGTAATCCCAACACTTTGGGAGGCCAACGCAGGCAGATCACAAGCTCAACAGATTGATATCATCTGGCCAACATGCAGAAATCCCATCTCTACTAAAAATACAAAAATCAGCTGGGTATATCGGTGTATGCCTGGAGTCCCATCTACTCGGGAGGCTAAGGCAGGAGAATCGCTTGAACCTGGGAGGCGGAGGTTGCAGTGAGCCGAGATGTCACCACTGCACTCCAGCCTGGCAACAGAGAGATATTCCGTCTCAAAAAAATAAAAAGACCTGTTTATAAGACAGGCACGGTGGCTCATGCCTGTAATCCCAGGCCTCTGGGAGGCCAAGGAGGGAAGACTGCTATTGCTTTAGCCCAGGAGTTCAAGACCAGCCTGGGCAAAAATGGTGAAACCCTGTTTCTACAGAAAAAAAAAAAACAAAAACAAAAAAACAACTAGTCAGGCACGGTAGCACATGCTTGGCAGGCTGAGGTGGGAGGATGGATGTAGCCTGGGAGGTCGAGGATACAGTGAGCTGTGACAGCGCCACTGCACTTACAGCCCAGCTTTAAAAAAAAAAAAAAAAAAAAAAAAAAAGCCAGGCGCGGTGGCTCAAGCCTGTCATCCCAGCACTTTGGGAGGCTGAGGCGGGTGGATCACAACGTCGAGAAATTGAGACCATCCTGGTCAACATGGTGAAACCCCGTCTCTACTAAAAATACAAAAAATTAGCTGGGCATGGTGGCACGTGCCTGTAATCCCAGCTACTCAGGAGGCTGAGGCAGGAGAATTGCCTGAACCCAGGAGGCGGAGGTTGCGGTGAGCCGAGGTCGCGCCATTGCACTCCAGCCTGGGTAACAAGAGTGAAACTCCGTCTCAAAAAAAAAAAAAAAAAGAATGCTTTATAAACAAGCATTCCTACTCCAGAACATAAACACTGAAAATGCAAACCAAATATAATTTATTTACAACTTAAAACTAAGCCAAACAATTGCTTCCCTTGCACTAAAAATCTTTTCTTCCACCAATCCCACCTATACGTATGTCTGACACTTACTTCTCACTGTGGGTAATGACTTGTTGTCCTTGTGAGTAATGACTTGGTAAAGTTCTAGAATAATATCTGGAGATTTGATGGACAGAAAAATATACAAGTGTATTAAACACCCAAGGTATTTTGTTAAGTACGCTGATAATGACAGAATAGCAAACAATCACAGGGAGTATCTAGACAAATCTCTAGATATGTCTCATACAAATTTCCTCATATCTATAAAATTGGATCAAATTTATCAATTTGATGGAATATTATTGCAACCATTAAGGCTAAATATTATAAAGTTATGTAACACAGAAGATTTTATAATACAGCATAAATTTTAAACATACATTTATATCTAGCTGTAAGACATCATGTATGTGGGCAAAGACTTAAAGAATGCAATAAGCAATGAATATTTAGTGTAGTTGTGGGGACTTCTCCAACCCTCCGTATGTTTACAAAGTAAATAAAAATTAGAAAGTTTGGTTGGGCACAGTGACTCATGCGTGTAATCCCAACACTTTGGAAGGCTGATGTGGGCGGATCACTTGAGGTCAGGAATTTGAGACCAGCTTGGCCAGCATGGCAAAACCCCATCTCTACTAAAAATATAAAAATTAACCGGGTGACGTGGCGGGCACCTGTAGTCCCAGCTACTTGGGAGGCTGAGGCAAGAAAATCGCTTGAAGCCTCAAGGCAGAGATTGCAGTAAGCTGAGATTGCACCCCTGCACTCCAGCCTGGTTGACAGAATGAGATTCCATCTCAAAAATAAATAAATATCAGAAGGTCAAAAACGCAAGGATTACTCTCTCTAAAGAACTGTAAAACTATCATCAGCACCTGAGTAATCATCTCATATTTATAATCTACACTAAACACATAAAAACTTGCTATATATTACCCGTTTCAAGCATGCTTCTGGGCAAGGTCACCAGATAAATGGGAAACAAGGTCCTGTCTGAGTATTCTGATTAAGAAGAGAGAAAAAAATGACTACCTCATAGCAAAGTGACAGAGGTATTATAACCAATGGCATGTTTTACTGCCATCTCCAGGTATCCAATTTTACATTACTTTTTACCCAACTTAACCACCATATCCAAGTTAAGCCCAGAAAGTTACATTACAAATGTTATGTCCTGGTAACTTAAGTGACAAGGATAATGATTATATCAGTTTGAACTATTTTTCATTGCATCAGATATTACATTGCTGTAACAGTGAAAGACATTTAGATTCAAGGATACCCTGAGATATCCCATTTCTAGACACGAGAATAAGGCTTCCATTATTTACTTTATGTCCACCTTTTAAAGGCCATATGGGTCAAAAGCTCGATAAGATAATCCTGAGATTACTGGCACTATCTCAAAATGTAGAATTAGTTTGGATTCTATTAACGCAACATAAAAATTGCCCTTAGCACCTAGGTTTTTTGCAGAAAGTAACAAATTAATCCTAAAATTCAGAGTGAAATGCAAAGAATCCAAAAATAGCCAAAACAAACCTGAAGAAGAACAGTTACAGGACACGCACTTCCTGATTTTAAAACTTACCACAAAGCTACAGGAACCAAGATTGTGTGGTACCAGCACAAGGACAGACATATAGATCAGTGGAGTAGAATTGAAAGGCCAGAAACAATCCTTACATCAATTGATTTTGAAAAGGTGCCAAGACAACTCAACAGGGATAGAAGAGTATTTTCAACAAATAGTGCTGGGACAGCTTGTTATCTGCGTGCAAAATAATGAAGCTGAACTCCTACCTTACACCACATGTAAAAATTAACTCAAAATGGATATTCACATGGAAAATAATAAAATTAGACCCCTAATTTACATCGTATACAAAAATTAACACAGAATGGGAATGGTCATAGTATAGGAGCTAAAGCTATACAATTCTTAGAAGAAACATATATCTTCTTGATCTTAGATTAGTTTCTTAGATATGATCCCCAAAATAGAGGAAAAAAATGATAAACTAGACTTCATCAAAATTAAAAACTTTTGAGCTTCAAAGTATACCATCAAGAAAATGAAAAAAAAAAAAACCCCCACAAAATGGGAGAAAATATTTGCAAGTCATATATCTGATAAGGAATCTGCATTCAAAATATATAAAGAATGCCTAAAATTCAATAATGAAGACAAAAAATTTGAATAGATGTTTCTCCAGAGAAGATACACAAATAGCCAATAGACAAATGAAAAGACCCCCCTCTGCTAATTGTACTATGAAAGTGATATTCCTATCCACTGCTGGCAGCATAGTAAATTGCTACAATTAATCTGAAGGAAAATCATTTTATGGCAAAAGTTTGTAAAAGATTTTAAAACAAACGTTTTGTGCCCTTTGACTTAGTTATGTAATTTCTGGAAATCACCTAAAGAAACAATATCAAATATGGGAAAATATATATACATATAAAATTATGTTGCCACAGTGCAATTCAGGGTAAAACTGGATGCAACCTAGATATTTGAGAATATGGGAACCATTATATTCTCAAAATCTAGTCATGGAATACTATACATTCCTATATAATGCTGATAATGGTATGAAAATATTACAGAAAATGTGTATTATAAAAAGATAAAACAAAATTCAATATTAACTCCTAATTATATTTACCTAAAACATACATATAAAATAACAGCAAATTTATAACTAAAAGATAATTATCTTAGTGTGGCAGAATTATGGGTATTTTTCTCAAATCTTCTTATAGTGTTGTCAATAATATTTTCATAAAGAAATAAGCATATTTTTACCTTATCCCAGAAATCAATCAAAGCTGTAAAGTCCCATTTCTTAGAATATGCGACATTGTACTTCAGAATAGCATCCTGTGGAAAATGCAGAAATAAAACATCATGATATTGCCAAGTGAATGAACTATGAAGAGCCCGTCTTTTTTATGAACTACTTCCAGTACATTTCATAATGTTAGACAAGCTTCCAACTACCTCCTCCTACTACTGATATGGACACCAATAGCTACAGACAAACAGAATGAATACTAACTTATTATTCCCTTAGAAAAATGAGATTAGAAAGGTCAGCTAATAGGTGAAAAAAATAATTACACCCTAAAGTATGCATTCTAAATAGGGTAATATACTCCAAACAGACAAAAATTGGATCTTGAGGGACAAAATCATAGACTTAGATATCACAATTGTTGGTGGTCTTGAAAGCGTCACACTATACATACACAGAGATACATGGTATATTTGTAGCATGAAAATTTCATGGGTCAGTTAATAGGGTTGAGATATAAATTTTTTTTGTAAAAAATAAAAAATAAATATTTCATGGGGATGAGGAGATTAGGAAAAAAATATTTTAAAAGGCTCCTGGGGTAGAGGGAAAGAATGAAAATGGATGGAGAAACACTGGCCTAAAGTATAAAACGGTCTTTTTTCCCATACTATAAGGTATTTTTATACAATATATACAAATAATTATCTTCCTCCAGCAATTCACATAAAGTACACATTTATGTAGAATGAAAAGTCAAAATATTATGCCATCTACTGGTGTAGTTTTTAACTGTTTGTACAGGCAATAGAAAGAGGCTTTATTTTTCGCTCACAAGCCATAACATAACATTTTCTATTAAGAGATTATGGCCTGCACGGTGGCTCATGCCTGTAATCATAGCGCTTTGGGAGGCCAATGCAGGTGAACTGTTTTGGAGTCCAGGAGTTCGAGATTAGCCTGGGCAACATGGCAAGACCCCCTAGAAAAAAATACAAAAATTAACCAAGTGTGGTAGTGCATGCCTGTAGTCCCAGCTATTTGAGGGGCTGAGACGGGAGGATTACTAGAGCCCAGGAGATTGAGATTGCAGTGAGCCAAAATCACACCACTGCACTCCAGCCTGGTTGGTAGAGTGAGATCCTGTCTCAAAAACTAAATAGATAAGTAAAAGAAAGAAAAAAAAAAACATGAAAAGATTTTAAGATTTTTTTTTCCAGTCACTGGCATCTAATTTCAAAACCTCATAAAGCATTAAATGGAAATATCTATCAATAGGTGAATGAGTAAACAATGTATATACTAGAGCAAACTACCAATACACTGAACAACCTGGATGAATCTAAAAAACCTTAATTTTGAGTGAAATGAAGCCAAACATAACTACTATGATTCCATTCATGTAGAATGTAAACTATAGTGAAAAGAACAGATCAGTAGTTGTCTGGGGCCAGAGCAGAAAGCAGAATAGACTGCAAAGTTGGTACAGAAATCTTTGGGGATGACACAAACATTCTGTATCATGATTACAATGAACACTTCATGGGTATGTGTAAATGTCAAAACTTATCAAATGACACACTTTAAAAGGATATACTTTCTTATTCAAAGCTAGTAAGGAAAAACATTTTAAATGGCAATTGCAATCTAATTCTTCACTGTAATTCTCTAATTCTTTTAGTGTTTTATAATTAGCATTAAGCTCTAACTCATCTTTATTTTTACTTCAGTCTTCAAGTCTCAAAAGTAGTCAACCATGAGGTTGCCTCTCGTTAGAAAAACTGGATACTACTCTGTACTCGATATTATCAACTACTAAGCTCTTTTTCGTTCATAATTCATAATAAGCACAAAAAATTCTTTCTGTGCAAATTGTCACATACATTATTTATATAAGTACTACTGTGTAAATCAATTTTTGAGGACACTATTACTCTTAAAATTATGAATGTCTCTAATCCTTCTAAATCCAACATCAAGTAGTATATAAACAGCAAAAAGATCATTATAGTCAATCAGGGATTTAACATTTCCCTCTTCCTCTCTCAAAGCATTCTTTCAGCAAAGGAAACAATTACCACAAGCTGATAGAAAAATATCTCAATGGATTACTCTGTTCTATTGAATCTACCATAAGAGAAATGTGAAAAGAAAATTCAGATTAAAGCAATTACCCCTTCCTGAAATAATCATGGTGCATTAAGGAACTGCTAGAGAGGTAAGCAGACTGTGTAATTTAGAACACTATAATCTTTTTTTTTTTTTTTTTTTTGAGACGGAGTTTTGCTCTTTGTTGCCCAAGCTGGAGTGTAGTGGTGCGATCTCAGCTCACTGCAACCTCTGCCTCCCGGGATCAAGCAATTCTATTGCTTCAGCCTCCTGAGCAGCTGGGTTCACAGGCTCCCACCACCAAACCTGGCTAATTTTTGTAGTTTTAGTAAAGACGGGGTTTCACCATGCTGGCCAGACTGATCTCCAACTCCTGACCTCAGGTGATCCACCTGCCTCGGCCTCCCAAAGTACTGGGATTATAGTATGAGCCACTGTGCCCAGCCTCACTATAATTATTCTATTTGTGTTTGAAGAAATATGAAAATTCTCAAAAACAGCCTCTGTTTAGAAGAATAAAATAAAGAACCTAAGATAGTGTTCTTCAAATGGACTCTGGGTAGTACTCCTGGGTGGCCTGCTTTATGTGAGTTTATAATTTTGTTTTTAGAAAACAACTGCCAAATGACAACACACTTTAGGAATTAAGGCTGGTGTTATTGATAGACAAAAATAGTGAAAAGATTGAGCTGTTCTACTCAGCAGTACAATTTAACATACCACAGTACAGGTATGTTAAATTCTACAAAACCTTGGTACACATGTGGTTGCTCATGCCTATAATCCCAGTACTTTGGGAGGCCAAGGCAGGTGGACCACTTGAGCTCAGGAGGCTGAGGCACAAGGATCGCTCAAGCCAGGGAAGTGTAGGTTGCAGTGAACTGAGATCACACCACTGCAATCTGATGTTCTATACAATATCCACCAACATCTATCAACTGTTCGTGATTAGCAGGAAAAGTAATAATTGCAAAATAATTTCCTCTTTATAGTATTTTAAAGAATTTCTCAGCATAATATTTTGGGGTTTGAATCAGTGATTTGAAAATTTTTGTGCAAAAAAAAAATACTGATTACAAATTGTTTTCACCATAATAAATACAAATCAAGCAATGGTTCATTATACCTGAAATTAAAAAAAAAAAATCAAGCTGATATAGCTGTACAAGCACTACAGTGTTTAAGGAGTTGGCTGAGAGCAGTGGCTCACATCTATAATCCCAGACAGCACCTTTGGAGACCAAGGCACGTGGATCACTTGAGCCCAGGAGTTGGTGACCAGCCTAGGTAACACAGAGAAACCTTGTCTCTACAATAAAATAAAATAAACAAAATTAGCCTGGGCACGGTAGTATGTGCCTGTAGTCCCCACTACCTGGGAGGCTGAGACAAGAGGATTGCTTGAGCCCGGGAAGCAGAGGCTGCAGTGAGCTATGATCACACCACTCCACTCCAGCCTGGGTGACAGAGTGAGACCCAGAATCAGAAAAAAAAAAAGTATAAGGAGTTTATATTTAGTTTTAAGTTTGTATACATGTAATTAACATCATACTAAAACTAGTAAACTTTAGCAGAACTTGAGATTTTTTCCATTTAAAGAGTCTGTTTTTTGTAGTTGTGAGTTGTGAGTGGCTAGTGTATTGCTGGTATGACTGAAGGCGGGGTTGATCCTTCATTTGCTTGATAACTGCATTCAAGAGAATCCAGATTGTGTTGGGGAAGGGAGTGACTGCACTCATGGCTAACTTGAAGTATTAAAATAAGGCTACCCCTAAAACCTTCTTAGTCACACAGGATCCCTATAGCCAAAAGAGTACATGTTCCAGCTGCACAGAACAGAATGCTCTCAGCTTGCACAGCACCTTAGGTGTAGAAAGAATATACAGCTAGGGAATGGTGTGGAGAAAGAACACTGGAAATAATTGACTTCCAGGTGGCTTTAGGGTCCTAAGGAGTGAAGGATGGGACTGGGAGGTCTTCATGGAACTGTGTAGGAGTTTCCTATAGACAAATTACTGATCCCCTATTTACTATCCCCAGTAAATAATGGCTGAATTAATATGTAATCAACTGCATTGTATCTAAAGCCTTGGAACTAGTCAGGTGCTCCCCCCAACTAATACTATTTCTTACCCTGTAATCCTATCTGATTTTTAACAAACCACTAATAATTCAAAGGATAATCTCTCTTTTGTTGTGTGTTTTTTGGTAATTGTTTTAAATTAATAAATTTGTAATGTAAAAAAATAAATAGGCCGGGCGCAGTGGCTTACACCTGTAATCCCAACACTCTGGGAGGCCGAGACAGGTGGATAGCGAGGTCAAAAGATCGAGACCATCCTGGTCAACATGATGAAACCCTGTCTCTACTAAAAATACAAAAATTAGCTGGGCATGGTGGCACACGCCTGTAGTCCCAGCTACTCGTGATGCTGAGGCAGGAGAACTGCTTGAACCCAGGAGACAGAGGTTGTGGTTGAGCCGAGATCGCACCATTGCACTCCAACCTGGGTAACAAGAGCAAAACTCCATCTCAAAAAAATAAATTAATAAATAAATAAAAATAGAGTCTTTTTTTTTTTTTTTTTTTTTTTAAGGAGTCCATTAGAAGATTGAGAAACACTGTCCTCAAGGAATAAAGTCCTCAAAATACATAAATACATTATGGTATAAGATATCAATGTTTTTCATGTAAAGAAAAAAAAAACAGGAGCTATGGAAAGGTATAGGAAGTTTAAGAATAACTTGCAAGTATCAGTAGAAAATATTAAGAAATCTGAAAAACTATTATAAGCTTTATCAGAAATAATAAAAAATAAAAAATAAATTTAAAATAAATAAATAAATAAAATCTGAGAAACTACACACCAAATTAAGTCTTTCAAAGAAAATAAAACCCATTTTCATGGAAGTATAAAAAATTGTCACTGTTTATATTTATAAAAACATTAAAAGTTTTCATGGCTATAGTGCCCACACACACACACACACACACACACTCATATTTTAGATATTAGAAAAACAATCTAATGCTTGCCCTTGCAGTCTTATATGAAATATAAATATATCAAAAAATAAATTATTGTCAAAATATAAGAGTAATAAATAAATTACTAAACTGCTAGGAGCTATATTAAGAGCAATAAAAACCTGAATGCTTAATGTATACTTTAATCATTACAAAACTCAGCTTCCCTTTGGGCAAATTTGGCTGAAGTCATAATTCTTTCCTGATTTAAAGATATTTCAGAAACATGATAATTTTAAAACAAAAAATAAAAGAGTAGCTTGGACTGAAGGAAATTGGATGGGGAATCAAGAAACAGAGGTATTATTCCTGGTTCTCCAAATTATTCTGTGTGGCTCCAGGCAAGTCATTTATAACTCTCAGTTCTTTTCATTTCCTAGTAGAATGTCTCTAAGGAGCCTTCCTTAGTGCCAGGTAGCTAGCACTTTGCATCTAAAGAATGTTGCTACCTGAGTCTATTAAGACCAAAAAGTCTTTGAGAGAGGAGACACACCAGGGCCCATCTCTGAGAGAGATGTGTAAGAGAAAAGAATGGTAGAAAGAACATACCTTCAAGTTTTGGGGTCGTGTAAATTTGTTGAGAAGTGCAGTCTGAATGAGCTCCCACCGGCTCCCGGCAGTTCGCTCACCATTCTTTCGGACAAAAGAAAAACATATGAGGAAACTATTCTAAGTTCTTTTGCATTACAGAATCAAAGGTCAAACAAGCAAGTACTAAAGCATTTTTCAGAGACTAAAAGAACCTTGGTTTTGTTCTTACCTCATCTTCTATGGGATACAAATTTTGTTCTGAACAAGGCATTTTAACATGCTTGTTATCCCACAAATCTTTATAATGTGTTGGAAAAGGTTTAGGAACTTCTCCTGCTCGCAAAAGATCTACCTGAAATTGAGGGTAAACAAAATTGTCAGTGCATAAAAACTACATGTAACTTCTACAAAATAATCCAAAGTAACTAAAGCAAATGCGATAAAATAGAGACCAGCTTCCAGGCAAGAAATACCAAAGAACCCTTCAGCTCTTTCCATTCCTCACCTCCACTCAATCAGGTTCCAAGTCACTAGATCCAGTGTATATTCTAGCTCCAAAGCCCCTAAGAATCCTCCTTTGCCTCAGCTTTTACCAAGTGCTTCCTAACCTTCTCCCTAACTCCAGCTGTTGCTAGACACATTCAGTCCCCATAAAACCCTTACCCTCACTTTGGAATAACATTATCTATCTAAAGAACTTCAGGCTTCTAATGCTATAAGGCCTATACTCTGATTCCAAAGGTCATCCTGATTTTCATTTACTTTCTTATCAAAACACTATTCATTCCAAACAAGTCTTAAACAAAATTTAAAATTCCTTAAACATAGCAAATTCATTTTCATATCTATATGTCTGTATATATACTACTGTAGCTTCTCTTTTTAATACCACTACTACCAATTGCCACCTCCCCACTCTATCTAGTTAAATCTCTATTGTCACCTTCATATCTCTGCCAAGTTTTCATTTTCTTTATGAAGTCTTTAGAAACGTTAAAGTAGGCAGTCATTTATCTTGTTTTGTTAGACTATTATAATGCTAAAGCACACTTGTTTTCCTTTCCCTCATTGGATCCCAAAATTCCTTAACATAACCATATTAACTTTGTATTCTGAATATTTAAGATAGAACCTGGCATGTGCATGTGTGCATATGCATGCAGATACATGCAAATATATATACACACACATATGTTACTATAATAACTATTAAGTAAATGTTTGAGGAAGTGTTACAGTAGGTAGCCAGTCAGACATGAGCAGGGCAGGACAGGGCCCCTACTACCATGAGGAATGTCAGGCAACCATGAAGTTGTGAAACTGCTTCTCTAATAGTATTTGGATGCAGCCGGTACCAGGGAGAGGAGTCACCCAATACATAGAAAAACCTAAAACTGGTGATCAGCAACATCCTGATAAGATCTTAGGAGTTGGGCAAGTCAGCTCCAGCATGTGAGGCAAAATGGCAGAGTTTAACTGGCATATGACCTTATAAGGACACTCTACTGGTAAGGGAAGAATGCTTCAAGCAAGCATGTGTTCAACTGCAATAATCACACTGTGCGTGCAGACAGCCCACCTCAAAGGAAGAATCAGGAGAGAAGGGGGCGCAACCCCCTGGAAACACGCCAACATATAAAACTTCAAGTCAAAGGTCAAACTATGTAGTTGATCTCTCAAGTTGCCTGCTTGGCCCTCTTCCACGTGTACTTTACTTCCTTTCATTCCTGCTCTAAAGATTTTTAATGAACTTTCACTCCTGCTCTATTTTCTCTTCTATTCCCATGCTTATTATCTCAGTGATTTTCAAGCTTTTGAAAATAGCAGAATCCTTTTTTCCCCAAGAAATCTGACATAAAGTCGCTTAAAGTCAAACCAAAGCTATTTTTAGAAATACAGTTTTTATAGTGACTTTTATTTACTCTAAAATCAGTAAGTGACGATGGGACAGTTTTAAGAACAAAATTTGAAATTAAGAGTTAGGGATGAGAATTAAAGCTTACATCAATCTACCATTTAGTTTACATTTATCTCTCTTAAACATTATTAATAAAATCCTGATTCACGCACCTACACAGTTGCAAACGGTAACATTTTAAAAACTGTTTGATATCAGGCTAACTCTTCAGATAAAGGGTAGCAAGAGAAGTTGGCTCTATGGTCTGTATAAAATTAGGTTATCTTGGCAAAAACAGCTTGTTAAAATGTGGAATTAAGCATCTTCAAATTTAATTGTATAGTTCTTTTTAAACAAGTTTTTCACTGTTAAAAATATAATTTAGAAACAAAATTTGTATCAACCTTCAAAAGAACCCCTGAAGTACCTCTATATAGCACAATTCAGTACATACTGTTGCCTTACTTATCTCTTATCTGGGATCTTACATTACCTCTTATGGCTCCCAGTGTATTCACACTTCTGTTTTCCTTATATGCAGCTGTCTGATTAACCTTGCTACAGCACAAATACTGTCTGCACAGACACGAATTAAGTCTGGTTCCTGGCACTTGAAGCCCTCTATGATATGAACCTAATCCAATTTTCAAGTCTCTTCCTCTATTCCCCATCCAAATTCCACACTCCAGCAAAGGCACTGTTTTCCATCTCTAAAACAGATAGTTTTCAACCACACAGCCTTTTCTTACAAATCTTATATATCTGGCTGGGCGCGGTGGCTAACGCCTGTAATCCCAGCAGTTTGGGAGGACGAGGTGGGCGAATCATGAGGTCAAGAGATCGAGACCATCCTGGCCAACATGGTGAAACCCCATCTTACTAAAAATACAAAAAAATTAGCTGGGCGTGGTGGCATGTGCCTGTAGTCCCAGCTACTCGGGAGGCTGAGGCAGGAGAACTGCTTGAACCCAGGAGGTGGAGGTTGCAGTGAGCCGAGGTCATGCCACTGTACTCCAGCCTGGCACCTGATGAAAGAGTGAGACTGTCTCAAACAAAAAACAAACAAACAAACAAACAAAAATCTTGTTTATCTGTCCAGAAGTCTCCTATCTTACTAATTACACCTCAGAAATTTATGCTTATCTTTTAGAGCTCAAACCCCATAACTTTGCTCAATGTCAGCTTCTGAACATGCCAAAGAATTCTGAATTTCAAAATAGTTAATCACATCTACACTAAACTGTATGTTAAAAGGGATCATGTTAATTTTTTTAGTAGTGCATGTGAAATCTATATAAAGATTAATAAATGAAATGAATGTTTAAAACTACCCAGCGAGTGACAGAAATCTAAAACTGGATTATCATGATGGTCACATAGCTCAATAAATGGTCTCAGTAACACCAAATCGAGCACTTAAAATGGGTGAATTTTTATATACCTCAATAAAGTTATTTTTTAAAAGCAAGAACACTCAGAAAGTACAAAAGAGGTTACTAGAAACTAGGGGAAGCAGGGAAGAAGGTATAATAATTTAATATGTACAGAGTTTCTGTTAATGTAGTATTATGATATGCACATTGGTTTTTGTCCAGGTTCGTGGCTCATAATTGCCAGAGCCCTTGTCTTTTGTTATAATGTTAGTCTTTAGTTATGTTTTGCTATAATGTTGTTATGGCATTATAATGTTAAAACAAAGACCATAACAGCCTTCTCCCAAAACAAACCCCCTTCTTGCCTGGGGACTAGATTGCCATTGTAGGACTAACAAAGTAGCCACAAGATTAGAAATTATGGTTTTGGAGCTGTGTAGCTGGAGGCTACAAGATTTTGACCCTCCCTAACCTGCAAATATCAGTGCTTGAGATACTTCGCAGACCCTGCACTTGATGGATCAGCTGGCCCCACCCAGATGGATAAACTGGCTCTTCTGATCTTGTGGCCCCTACCCAGGAACTGACTCAGCACAAGAGGACAGCTTCAGCTTCCCATGATTTCTTCTTATGGTTCAACCAATCAGCACTCTTGATTCACTGGCCTTCCTTTCCCACAAAATTATCCTTAAAAACTCTGATTCCTGAATGCTCAGGGAGACTGATTTGAGTAATAAGAAAACTCTGGTCTCCTGCAAAAAAAAAAAAAAAGGTTGGGGAGCAAAACTGTATAATGATTTAAGGACACTAAACCATACATAACTTCGAATTTTAAGGATGAATGCAGGATTGTGCAGGGACTGCACAATACTATCAACTGAGTAAAAAGAAAAAAAAGAAGAATTCAATGAGGTTTCTTAAAAATACTGAAAATATTTCAACTTTATCAGCTGACTATTGCTAATTTGTTAAGTCCTATATTAAGTCATCATTATATTTCTCTATTCTATAGACTTCTCAGTATTTTATATATGCAGAAAACAGAAGAACTTTCTAAACCTTGGTCTGTTTTTCCACTTAATAAATATCACAATAAATGAGGACTTCCAGTCTTCTCTCATCATTGGTAAGAGGTGCTACCTACCCGAATAGTGACGGTGTGATTGGCAGATGGTCTCAAGAGAGGCAGCCGGATCCCACACAGAGGCATTCTTCTCATCTCCTCAATGGGAGTTCCAAGCCACTTCTTATCTGGAGAAAGGTGAGGTGGAACGTATTTAGGGATCTTCCTTTCTGTTCTTTGATGTCTGGTCTCGCACTGTTCTTTTCTAAGGTCAAGACAAATGTATCTAGTCACAAATTATTTACTGTTTTAATTCCATTAGATACACAAGCACAAAATTTACCCAGAACTTTATTGTTTAAAGTATGCCATACTTGCTCACTTACTTTATATGTGTTATATTTACAATCAAAAGAAAAACTTATAAAGCCTATATTAAAACTCAAGAGCTTATTTTCAACAGCCTGTGGAAGAGAGTTCCAAACACATGTAAATCACCTTCTCAAAACAGAAACGAGTCATGGTTCATAGTATCATCTACACAGTAATTTTTAATGAAGTGAACTCACTATTGCATGCTGATCGCACTATTTCAGGAAACTCAGATCACAGAAATCATTGATGGGATTTAAGATTCCACATGGGGTAATGGCAAAATATAAGCTTTGTAATCAAACACACCTGGATTTAAATCCCAGCATTACCACTCAGAAGGTACACGATTCCAGCAAATTCTCTAACCTAAATCTCAGTTTTCTCATTTACTAAGTACAGTACCATCAGTCTGCCTGTCACCACATTAGACATAGCGTAAAACGTGTAATATACAATGGTGTAGAAAAAAACATCTAGCTGAAGAAACAGTAGCTACTATCAACCTAGTATTTTCATGTTCTAATAATTCCCATAAATACCAAAAGGAAGTTCCTAAGAATCTGATTTCTACTATTTATTTTACCTCTTGCTTTGTTTCTAGCCTTTTTAGAGTTTAAACTTTGGAGTCTAAGTTTAAATTTAGCATAAGTAGTTAACAAGAAACATAACCATTTCTTTGCTTTACTAGAAATCATAGCTTCCTTAAACTCCCTTACAAAACTATAAAGCATATTACACTATTGGAAAGATACTCCTAACAGAAAAAATTACCTTCTGTCCTCTGCTTTGGGCATTCTCATGAAATGATCTGTGATTTTAGAATCCTTTTTTCCATGTTGCTTGAAATTTCTGCATTCTACATTCAGGCTGGAAATATTTCCAGGTGGTTTAGCATTTAAATCATTCAATCCAGTGCGACTCTCTCCTCCTTCAAATTGGAAATGTAATCTACCTTCGCCTCCCTTAGTAGAGTGCCGTTTCCTAAATTCAGTGTCAGCTTCTCTTGCTTGGAACCTTGAAGATTTATTTGCTGTTTGGAAGGAACTAACATCTTCTTGTTCATCAAAACCTGGACTTGTCTCCTCATCTGCTTCTGAGTCTTGACAACTATTTTTGGAATTATCTACATCCATTGGTGACTCAGGTTCACTTTCCTTCTCAAATGGAGGAGAATTTCCTAGGCAACTTTCTTGTCTATTCAATTTGTTGTCATTTTTTGGTCCAGTACCAAGGTCCTCAGAGCCAACATCTGATAATGGACTCTCTGGCACCACGTCTGTCTCTTCCTGCTGACAACTTGCACAGTCTTCCCCAGGATGGCAAGACTTGCTACACCTCCAGTGGCTTCTGGCTTCTCTGGCCTGTTCATCTTCTGTAGCCTGCTTTGCATTTGTAAGCTTTACAGTTGTGAGAAACTGTTGATTGTCTCTATTTTCTTCACTGTCTGTGTCACTGTGATCATCATTTTGAGGTGACTGATCAATGTTAGCATTACTAAACTGCTCTGATACCAGAGTTACTGTCTGAGGTTCACCTTCCAAAAGCTGCTCCATGTGTTTCCCTTCATTTTGCCACTTACACATTGCTGCAGTCTGATGCTGGTTCAAATACTGCATACTTTTTTCAGTGGGTGACTTATCAAGACGTAGCTGAGAAACATTTTCTAATTTTTCTACATTATGTTGGTACAAGTTATCTTTTTGTACAGAACTCATCATGGATTCTATTCTTGTATTGTTGTTTTCTTTACTATCCAAACTACAAGAGAACAGAAAGAACTAAAAACAACTTATAATACAAAAAAGCCACTTATCCAATCATACCTAGTATCACAGCAGTAATTAAACTCTGTGTGGTTACCTGAGCACACAGCATGCTCTTCCATGACTCCATGTCTCTGCATGTGCCCCTAATGCCCTCCGCACAGCTGTGTGTCTGGCAAACACCTGCCTTTCCTTCAACTCATAAATGTCACTCACCTCTCTATGAAGTCTTCTCCTTTAGGTACCAAAGGTAAAGTTGAACATTTGTTTCTTCTATACACTAATCACCACTGTGCCTTGCTCGCACCTTTACTACTGCATCTATCACACTAGGCAGTAATAATGTGTTTTTGTGTCTGTGGCCACTGCTACAGTGTAAGTATCTTAAAGATAAAGGCTATTCCTCTCTCACCTTGGTGTCTCGAGTATACAGGACAGTCCCTGGCACATAGGACTCTCTAAAAAATTGCTTATAAGTTGATTCAAATGAACATAGATAAAGGAGAACAGAAAAGCATGAAGAAAGAAAGAAAATACTAAAGCAGCAAGATAAAACATCCATGCGTTGTTATTCATTTCTCTATATAGAAATGTTTCTATACCTTTCTGATTCCGCCGTCTGGATTCCTTTAGTGTCCATCCAACTGGTAATAGTCTTTTGTTTGTAAACTATAAAAAAAAATGTATATTCATACATTCCTTCAAACAGAAAAACATATACAGCATATTATACATGCAAGGCACTATGCTAGGTTCTACGGGTTGTACAAAAGATTAATAACTCAAGTATTTGCCCTCAAGTAATAAGGGATAAGACAGAAACATAAATATTAATACATATGACATAGGGTAGAAAGTGGTGCCAAAAAGAGTTGGTATGGCCTAAAGGATAAAAGCAGCATGGGCTATGGAATCAGAATATCTGGATTCAAATCCTGGCTCTTCCATTAGCTTCCTACATTACTTTATGAGTGGTCATTTCTCTGTCTCAGATCCCTCATTTTAAAACATGCAAAATAACAGTATCTCTCATGAGGTAAGGCTTAATTTAAGTAAAAATAATTCATGTAAAGTGTTTAGGGCATTACCTGGTTTATGCTTAGTAAATGTTGATTCTTAATTATCATTATTATTAAAATAGGTCCTGATAAAGGAATTAAGGTTATCTCTGAGGAAGAGATTACGTCAATGAACAGGAGAAAGTGGGCATAATTAGGTAAGATTTTTTGGGAAGAGGTAAGCCTTGAATTATGCCTTGAAAAGTAAACCTGTAGTCACATAAAGAGAAAATAAAGCAACAAAAAATATGGTTGAAAAGTCAGCCAGGATTGTATCATAGAGTAGGACCTTGAATGACCCATAAAGAGAAGTACAAAAAGGTGCTGAAAGATATGATTCCTCTCCTCTAGGACACTCACAGTCATGCGTGACAGCCTGGAGGACAAATCTGAGGGACAAGGAGGAAGAGCCTATTGCCAGAAACCACGGAGGAAGCTACTGGTCCAGGTCAGTGGTTCCTAAACTATCTGGATCATCAGGAAGCCGGCAATCAATGGACCTCGGGGCCGCACTCCAGTCCTACTGAGTCAGAATCTACATGTAAGGAGGATGAAGGCATCATGGGAGCTGGAACATATTTTTTTTTCCAAAAGTGATTTTGATGATCCGCTAGACTGAACAACTACTGGCCAAGAACATAAACTAGTCCTTGTGGGAATAGTAAAACTGAGGAAAGTTATTACAGCCTTCACAACAATAGGGGAGGTTCAAAGTGACTTTAACCAAGCTTTAAGCTTGAGAGACTTGAAAAATGATGACATCCTTAAGTAGAAATATGGACTGTAAGAGGCTTGTGTTTAGGAAAAAAAATATGATTAGGTCAATTCTGCACATGCTAAATTTGAGATCCAAAGAAGTAACTAGATAGAAATGACGAGCAGACAGTAGCAAAAGTAGAATTGATAGCTCAGGAGAGGGAGATGCAATATAAACAAATACAAGCCACATTTTATATAATCATTAGAAATAAGTATGCTGTCAAAGTTGAATATACTGAATAGGGATTAAATGTACATCATATTTTATTACCAGAAATAAAATATTAAACATTCTCAAATGTTTAAGGTTTGAGATAGTCACTAAATTGCAATGTAAGAATCTCAGCATTCTAAGTCACAGGATCTTTCTTATTTACCTACCTCTCCTCAAACACCATATTGAGCAAAACAGATACAGCTTCAAATATATGAAAATCAATGGCTTATTTATCACTGAGATAATGGCATAATCAAAATCCATTTCAGACGGGGAGAATTTTATACCAGAAAAATATACCTTCCACAAAGTATTAATAATCCAGCTAGTAAAAATCTTTGATTAGTGTTTGAAAAATAGTTTCTATCACAAAAAAAAGTAATTATACATAGTGATTTCTTACTGTTAAACACCATTACTTTAGTGACTTTATTTAGTATTTCTGTAGCAGATCAGGCTTCAGAGAAAAAATGAGATTCAGTCAGAGGGATGAACCATTTGATTCTGAAACTTTTTCTATAGTTTCATCTTCTCGATTTTTCTAAACTGTACTATAGACCAAATTACAGACCAGTAAATGCCAAAACATTCCTTTTTTGAGTCAGTTTAGAAGTTAAAACATCTTTTTTCTGTAAATATAAAGATTAATGTTAAGATGCAATGACTAGGTTCCTAAAATACACACGAAGCACATACTACAGTCATATGTCTACAGAACCTAAAGACTGCACACATTATTTCATGAAAACCCAGGAGTGTTCCAGTGATGGTGAGGAAGAAGAGAGCTCTCTCCTATAGCCCTGACCCTGAGAATGTGTTCTCTCTCCAGCTTCACACTTCCTGAAGCCTGAGGAAGGGATGAAGGAGGAAAAGCAAGAGGTGAGGAACCAGTATCTTCTGCTAATAAACACTGCTCAATCCCTCCTAGGGCCTGAGAGAAAGGACTGCTTACTGCTCTTTCCAATATCACTACTTCTGTCTTCCTAAGGTTTCCTTTTCCTTCCCAACACACCACAGGACTATGTCAGAGCTTTACCTTTCTTACTCCTGAAGGAAGGATAAAATGATGCTTTCCAGGTTTCCTAGGAATTTTAACTAGAAATAGTTCGAGCACACAAAAACAGAGGCAGTAAGAAGTGATGAAAAGATACAAGATCTTTGGTCAGATAGTCTATTGTGTTGAGATCTTTGTTCTGTCATTTACTAGTACCCTCTTGGTCAAGTTACTTCACTTTGCTAAGCCTTTATTTCCTCACCCAGAAAATGAAGCTACCACCACCTACTTCTAAGAGTTATGCAGATCAATTACAATGCAAAAGTCACAGAAAATATTGTGTCCTGCCTCACAAAACAGCAAATATATTATCAATATGTTATCTCCCAACATTTCCACCCAGTTTTTTTTTTCCCACTGAGATCAGTAATTCTCCAACTTTGACTTCACATCATTTACATTTATTCTCATCAGTAACATTACTGAATGTATTTTAATCAGCAGGTCATTCAATTCAGCTATAGATTGATACAAGCAAAAGACACAAATGCCATAAAATTCTCCAGCATTTCAAAGGAACACTCCCCACTTTCACAAAAAGTCTAAAGCAACAGATCTGGATAAATCCTTCATCAACACAATGCAAGTTTGCAGAGTCCTTTTCTTTCTTCCTTCCTCTCCCTCCCTCCCTTCCTTCCTTTCTTTTTCAGAAGTGGAGTCTCACTATGTTGCTCAGGCTAGATTGGAACTCCTGGGCTCAAGTGATCCTCTTGCCTTAGCTTCCTAAGTAGCTGGGACTACTGGTGCACATCACCACACCCAGCAAGATTTGCAATTTCAATCAATATAAGAAATGTGCCCAGGAAGATAAATAATATAAAATTTAAAGATACCGAATAAATATCCATTTCTCTACCCCACCTACTTGTCCTAGGATAATTATATATAAAAATTTAAATACCAAGTTCCTAAAGGAATCCCAAAAATTCTAACAATGGGCTTTTGTTGAAATATAAACTTTGAACATTCTGTTAACGTTCAAAGTTGGTGTCCTGTGCCAGGCATTAGAAAACATTTACACATGTGAAATACAGCCCCAAGTATTCATTTGGTACCTCTTCTGCAGAAATCTTAATTAAGATCCAACCAGTGAGGACTGACTGCCCCCACCCCTATTTGCAACTTACTCCTCCTCCTTCACATGCAAATAAGGTTAATGAAACCACAAATTATCCTGTCACAGAAGCTGAAGTACACCTGAATATATACCTGAAGTTCACCTTCAGTTCCCTCTCCCCTAGACCAAGTTCTCTAAAATCTATACCCTAAATTTTAAATCCATCCCTTCCTTATACCCTTTAAACACATCACTTATTAGACAACTGCCATTTGTTTCTTACAACTAGTCTCCCTGTCTACAGTCTTGACTATCCAGTGTTCTGCAACTACAAATGACCAGTGGTTTTTCAGTGAAATAATACAGACAATATAAGAATGCATCATACATAGTAAGGTTAAGTATTATTTCGTGAAACATTTATTTCAGTTATAAATATGGCTTATTTGCCAGGTTACATATATTTCTTACTCTGTGTACCAGATAAAGTTTATGCTGTGGGTTGCTGTTAGAAAAGTCCAAAAGCCACTGCTTAAGCCATATTTTCTAAAATATTAACCAAATGGTATTCCCACTCTTAAAGCTTTTTAGTGGTTTCTCCATTAACCACAGAATAAGGTTGAAATTCCTTAAAATGGAACTTGAGTCTCTTCATGATAAGCTCCTGCCTGTCATCCAGCCTCATCTAACACTCCTCTGTCAACTTATGCTCTAGTCTTACCAACTTTTGCATGTCTTTTTCCCTCTATGTGTATAGTTTTCCTCTCTGGATTTATACAGCAAATCTTGCTCATCTTTCAAGGCTAGTGCAAATCTGCTCCTTACTGCCCCTAAGTCCTAAGACATCTAAGTGTACACCCTTCACCAGAGAACTGCCTGAGCTCTGCCAGCCTCTTGCATTGTTAACCAATACATCCTTTTTGAAATGCTCTCCTTTACCTGACACAAGCCAGGCTTTCCTCCCACCTCTGCGGCTGCTTCTCTTCAGTCTACCATTGAATGTAGGTGTTCCTAAAGCCTCTGCCCTAGGTCACTTTTACTTCTCTACATGTTTATATGTTCTTAACTATGCCCATAGCATCCATTATGATGTCTATGCCAAAAACTCCCCAGTCTACAACTCCAGCACAGAAATAATTCTTCTAAGGTAGAAACTCAAGTATCCTATTCTTTCCTGAATCCATCCCCTTCCCTACTGCCAGCATTCAAGTCTAAGCTACAATTATTTCCAACCTAGATTAATTTCTTAACTGAGTCTTGGGGCTCCACTTAAGTTCCCCTTCAATCCATTCTTTATTTTCTACACACTAGCCACAGACTTTTCAACAAACAAATCTAATGAAGTCACTCCCCTACTAAAAATCCTTGAGTAGCATCTCATGGCCCTTAAAGTTCAAAATCTTTAGCACTGTCTACATATCCAATTTGATCTGACTTTTCTCTACCACACTGCAGCCTTATCTCTCTCTACTCTCTTATGTTTACTCTATGCATCAATTGCACTCTTTTTTTTTTTAGGCGTAGTTTTGCTCTTGTTGCCCAGGCTGGAGTGCAACGGTACGATCTCCGCACACTGCAACCTCTGCCTCCTGGGTTCAAGGGATTCTCCTCCCTCAGCCTCCTGAGTAGCTGCGATTACAGTTGCCCACCACCACGCCCGACTAATTTTTTCTATTTTTAGTAGAGACGGGGTTGCCGGGCGCGGTGGCACATGCCTTTAGTCCTAGCTACTCGGGAGGCTGAGGTGGCAGGATCGCTTGAGTCCAGGAGTTCTCGACTGTAGTGTGCTATGCCGATCGGGTGTGTGTACTAAGCTGTAGTGGGATCGCGCCTGTGAATAACCACTGCACTCCAGCCTGGGCAACATAGTGAGACCCTGTCTCTATTTAAAAGAGAGAGAAAGAGAGAGAGAGAGAGAGAGAGAGAGAGAAGGAGTTTCACCACGTTGGCCAGGCAGGTCTTGAACTCCTGACCTCAAATGATCTACCCACCTCGGTCTCCCAAACTGTGGGAATTACAAGCGTAAGCCACCGCGCCCGGCCTCAGTTGCACTCCTGTAACACTTCCTTACTTCCTCTTCACCTAACTCCTCCTACTCATACTAAAGTCCTCAGAATAAGAATCTCATCTTCTGGAGGTCTATCTTCGATCCCATAAATTAAGTTAGGTAGAACAATCTGTCCTTCGTCTGTCAGAACATCCATCACCTTTTATTATATAAACTTTCACTATTGTCTATCTCTCCAGATAGATTTTAAGATACGGAGGCAGAGGCCAAGTTTCTCTTGCTCAACACTGGATGCCAGGGACGAATACAATACCAGCCTAGACTAATAGCTCTGCACCCTGGGACCCAGAATCAGAACAAGTGAAGTTGTTTTCTTCCTACCTAGACGCTGAAGCGCCCTACTTACTGTTTCACATACACAATTAAGTCTCCTTGACGACTAAGGCAATTTCTCAATCAAACATGAAGAAGCAAACAGGTGGTGGAGTCTCCTGCCATTTTCCGCCCTATGAGTGACCGCTCATCAGAGTGTCTCACGTCAATCGCACCGGGAAAAATGCGGCCCCATTCACCCACTAGTCGGTTTGGTAGCTCAACAAGTGGACCTCAAAGTGATGATGCACACAAGACCAGAAAGGAGTGACTGGAGCCCTTGAGTCCTCAGACTGAGACCAGAAGGTTAGGGCCGAGGCGAAGGACAAACATTTTTATTTCCCCACGTACCAAGCGAGGTGGCGCTGCCTCTGTGCTGTCCCGCCCGCCCTGGGACGCAGGCTGGAGAGGACGGTGGGACCCTGAACTGCACGTGAGCGTCCTTGGGGTCGAGGACGCGCCTCTGCCTGCTGGGAAAGCTCCGGGCGTCGGAAGCAGCCGGCGAAGTTGCAGCGACGCCCCAGCGGGGTCGCTTGGTGCAGGGTTCACAGCCGGGGCCCGCATTCATGCTGGGACCCACAGCGCACTGTCCCCGGGCCGGCCCGGGCGGAGAGCCTCATTCACTAACCCTGAGAGGGAAGGACTGCGCCTCCTTCTCAGCGCCTCCCCGCACCATTCCCTCTCTGCCGCTGCCCGCTTCTGCAATTGCTGATCCGCCGGCCTCCCAAGTCAGGCCGTAAGCAGTCGCCTGCCTTCCCGCTTCCACTGGCACCCCACCTGCCTCAGGATGCGCCGCTTTGATACGGGCTTCGTTCACTTTCCCACCACCGGAAAGCTGCCGTCAGGCGCTTCCGGCTTCCGGGACGCACACTGCCGCAAAGCGGAAGTGTGGTGCTTAGCGGGAACTGGCGTCCGGAAGGTCAGCGTGTGAAGGAGGCCCTGGCAACGCGGGGTTACCCGCAGTTTCAGAGAAGCAACGGCCCAGCGGACCATCCAGGCTTGAGGCAGCGGCGGGAAGCACCCGGTTTGCTGCGATACCATGGAAGGAGGCGGGGGAAGCGGCAACAAAACCACTGGGGGGTTGGCCGGCTTTTTCGGAGCTGGCGGAGCAGGTTACTCGCACGCGGATTTGGCAGGCGTCCCGCGTAAGTATGGGGCCTAGCTTGCGATCATTTCTCTCCGGTTCCTGCGTCTACACCAAAGTCGCGTGTCCCCTGTTTTATGTTTCGGTTTTTTCTCTTCCTGGCATTCACAAGCTTCACTATCACTGGTGGGTTTAGCGTATCTGCATGGCTGCTCTTTCAGGATCGAGTGTGAGGGCCACGGCTCTCCCGTGGAAGCTGTCTGTGATTGACCTGGACTCGCGAGATGATGCGGGTTTTCTTAGGTTTATAGCCAAGACCCGTGCCTTTTGTGTGTGACGGGCCGTGTGACTGACCCTTGATTAAAAGTAGAGCCCATCTTTAGAAGTGAATATATCCCAAACAGCAGGCCTATAGTTAACTTTTTAGTACACAGCGACATTCTGAACCCTCTGGTAGCCGTCAGGGCAGAACATTTCAGTAATATTGCATTAAGTAAGGAATAAATATGACTTGAGACAGGCTGGGAAACCATCTTAAGGAGCTAGAAAGTAAGCTGAACTTTAAAGGTTTATAGACATGAAGAAAGAAGACAGGTAAGAAAAGGAAATACACAAGATCAGGGATACAGAGGCATGCATTTGCCTTTGCCTCTCCTCCGTCTTTTCTTCTTCTTCTTCTTCTTCTTTCTTCTTTCTTCTTCTTCTTCTTTTTTGAGACATAATCTTGCTCTGTCACCCAGGCTGGAATGCGGTAGTGTGATCTCGGCTTACTGCAGCCTCTGCCTCCCGGATTCAAACGATTCTCCTGCCCCAGCCTCCTGAGTAGCTGGGACTACAGACGAGTGCGACCACGTCCGGCTAATTTTTTGTATTTTTAGCAGAGACAGGGTTTCACCGTGTTAGCCAGGATGGTCTCGATCTCCTGACCTCGTGATCTGCCCGCCTGGGCCTCCCAAGGTGGTAGGATTACAGGCATGAGCCACCGCACCCAGCCTCTTCTCAGTCTTTAATCAGAAAAGACCTTTCATGTCCGTAGTGTCACCTTTGTCAAAAAACTGAATCTAGAACACAAGGTGTTTTGTTGTCTTTTGACCTCACTCTGTCAACCAGGTTGGGGTGTGGTGGCATGATCGTAGTTCACTGAAGCCTCGCAGTCCTGGGCTCAAACAATCCTCCCACCTAAGCCTCCTAAGTAGCTGGACCTATAGGTACGTGCCGCCACGCCTGGCTAATTTTTCGTTTAACTTATTGTGGAGATGGGGTCTCCCTGTGTTGTCCAGGCTGGTCTCAAACTCTTGAGCTCAAGCCATCCTCCTATCTCGGCCTCCCAAAGTGCTTGGATTCCTAGGCCTGAGCCTAGCTAGGTACCTCTGTAGAACACAGTTTCATATTAATCTTAGTATCTCTGAGTTTCACAGCACAAAGGGCACCCTTAATGTGACGATATTGTGACATAAATTTGATTAAGATTTGAAAGTAAATTGAGGGACCGGTGAATTAACACCACTTACTGAGCTTCTGCAGTGTGCTAGCTACTTTTCTGGGTGCAGGACTGTAGCGGTTTTTTTTTGTTTGTTTGTTTTGGTTTCTTTTTAAAGACTTGCTCTCACAGGGTTTACATAATACTGGAGTAAGCCAACAAACATAAATTAAAACATTGCAGTTAAAGTGCTGTAAAGGGAATAAAGTAGTAGAGTCATGAGATTGTGATGGAAGCAGGAGGCCATTCTAGAATGGCTTAGGGAAAACATCCCAGGGGAGTTGACATTTGCGCTGTGACCCAAATACAGTACAAATGCTTGGGAAGTGAGTATCCAGGAAAATAGCTAGTGCAGATATCCTGAAACAAAACAAATTTGGCATGTTTAAGGAACAACTCTTAGGCCAATCTGTCTTCATAGTTACAAGGAAGTTGGATCAGTTGAAGATACATCAAGAGAGATAGGGAATGGCAGTTAATGTAGGGTTTTGTAAGTCATGGTAAGGAGTTTGGATTTTCTTTAGAAAAATCACTGTAGTTGCTATGTAGACAGTGAATTGAAGGGACATGAGAAAGCAAGGAGTTAGTTAGGAAGTTGTTGCCATGAGATTTGTTGGTTGGACAAGGATGGTAACAATAGAGACTATGATAAGTAACACAATTCAAAATAGGCGTTAAAAATAGAACTAACAGAACTCCTAATTGATGAAAAGATCAGAGGCATGGGTGATGCATAGATTTGTGAATAACTGCTGAGATACAGAAGGATCCAAAGATTGACAGGTTTTACTGTTTTCAATGTTAGTGAATTCAGGTCTGGCCTTCTGAAAGTTTGTGTGTTCTTCTGCACAGACCCACATCCCTGTGGTAATGACCCAAGGATTCTCTACGTTGCCATAGTCAATCTGTTGTCAATAGTAATATCAGAAGAAACTGCCTTGAAATACTTATATAGAACATGTACACAGAAAACCCAACCACTATTTTTCCCATGAAATTAATTAGTCTTTTCTCAGTCCTATTTTGCAGTTTACATACTTACCAAATATTCTTCTACTAAAGTGAAAGAAATTAGCTTTATAAGTGGCCTGGGCTATGCTTCCTATAAGTTCAATAATCTGATCTGTGTCACTGCCAATATCTTATTGGTATAAAAACCTAAGCCAACCAGTGCAAGACCTGGTTTGGGAGATCTCAGGATCAGTCAGTCCTTAAACTGACAGATAGGGAGGATAAAATGGGAAAAATTTTTTACCTTCAGTGAGCCTGTAAAAATTGCAAACACATGTAACAGTCAGGAGCTGGATTAACTCTTAACTGAATGAACTAAAGAATTTCGTTAAAATGTGACATTTTGTTTTCTCTCTAGTAACTGGTATGAACCCTCTGTCTCCTTATTTAAATGTGGATCCACGATACCTCGTGCAGGTAAGATTAAGATTTTTACTAGTTTGGTGTGCTATCTTACTGTTTAAAAAAAAAAAAAAAAAAAAAAAGCCAAGTGCTTATTATGCTGACTTGAACTATGACATGCACTTCTGGAGGCACTAAGTGTCTGGTCTCCATTCACCCTTTTTCCTCACAAACCCTGTGAGCTTGGCCTGCATCTCTCTGAAACCAGTTAACACTCTTCAAAGGCTTATTTTTTAAAAACCAAAGTGGAATTAATTTTTAAAAGCACCCCAATGAGAGTTTTGGGATGCATAATTACAAAGTGTGTGGGTTGGCTTTTTTTTTTTTTTTTTTAAGGCAAAGTTTGGCTCTTGTACCCCAGGCTGGAGTGCAGTAGCACGATCTCTGCTCACTGCAACCTCAGCCTCCTAGGTTCAAGCAATCCTCCTGCCTCCACCTCCCAAGTACCTGGGACCGCAGGTGCCTGCCACCATGCCCAGCTAATTTTTGTATTTTCAGTAGAGACAGGGTTTCACCATGTTGACCAGTCTGGTTTCGAACTCCTGACCTCAGGTGATCAGCCCGACTCGGCCTCCCAAAGTGCTGGGATTACAGACAAAGTGTGTTTTAAAGCTCAGTTTGCACTATCAGGGTTCTTTTGACTAAGCATCAGAAGTTTCAAAGATTACGTTAGGAAAGCAAGGTTGATTTAACATCTGAAAATTAATGTATTGTGCCATATCAACTTATAATAAGGCAATCAAGGAAAGAATACAGTACAAAGACCAGGCTTATCTCTGTAGATTCACAAAAAGCATTTGACAACATCCAACACTCCCTTTATGATTAGAAAAACAAACTAGGCTGGGTGCATTGGTTCACATCTATAATCCCAGTACTTTGGGAAGCTGAGGTGGGTAGAGCACTTGAGGCCAGGAGTTCGTGACCAGCCTGGCCAACATGGCAAAACCCTGTCTCTACTAAAAATACAAAAATTAACCAGGTGTGGTGGTGCCTCCCTGTGATCCCAGCTGCATCAGAGACTGAGACATGAGAATCAGTTGAACCCTGGAGGCAAAGGTTGCAGTGAACCAAGATTGCGCCACTACAGTCCAGCCTGGGCAACAGAGTGAAACCCTATCTCTAGATAGACAGACAGATAGATCAGTCAGTCAATCAATCTAGACATAGAAGGGACTTCAGCCTGATAAATGGCATCTACAGAATATCCAAAGCGAACATATTTAATGGTGAAGGACTGAATACATTCTCCCTAATATCAGGAACAAAATAAGTATGTTTAGTCTCATTTGTATTCAGCATTGTCTGGCCAGGACAGTTAGGCAAGTATATGAAATGGCAGTCAAATTGAAAAATAAGTTAAATTATGTGTTTATAAGTGATATGATCTTATCTATAGAAAATCACAAGGGAAACCACAAAAATCTATTGAAACTAACAACCGAGTTCAGCAAGTTGCAGAATACAAGTTCAATATACATAAATCAAATATATTTCTAGACATTCGCGATGAACACTACAAAAATGAAATTACAAAAAATTCATTACCAATAACATCAAAAAGCAAATACTTAGAAATAAATGGACCAGGTACAAAACGTATTCTGAAAACTATAAAATGTTATTGAAATTAAGTGAAAAGGCATGTGCTATGATCCTGAAAAATTTAATATTAAAATGGCAGGAGTCACCAAGTTAACCAACAGATTTAGTGCAGTGCCTGTCAAAATCCCAGCTGTCTTTTTTTGCAGAAATTGACAAGCTGTTATCCTAAAATTCATAGGGAAATTCAAGGGACGTAGAATGGCCAACAACTTTGAGAAAACAGATTGGAGGACTTGAACTTCCCAATTTCAAAACTTTGTACAGAGCTATGAGACTATCATGATAGTAACATAAGAATGAATCCATAGATTAAATACAGAGTCCAGAAGAAAACCCTTAAAATATATAAAGGCACTTGCTTTTCAGTAAGGATGCTGAGACAGTTAAGTCAGGGGAAACGTTAGGACAACTGGAATCCATATACATAAAAATGAAGTTGAGGGCCGGGCGCGGTGGCTCACCCCTGTAATCCCAGCACTTTGGGAGGCCGAGGCGGGTGGATCACGAGGTCAAGAGATCGAGACCATCCTGGTCAACATGGTGAAACCCCATCTCTACTAAAAATACAAAAAATTAGCTGGGCATGGTGGCGTGTGCCTATAATCCCAGCTACTCAGGAGGCTGAGGCAGGAGAATTGCCTGAACCCAGGAGGCGGAGGTTGTGGTGAGCCGAGATTACACCATTGCACTCCAGCCTGGGTAACGAGTGAAATTCCTTCTCAAAAAAAAAAAAAAATGAAGTTGAACCCTCACCCTGCACCATATACAAAACGTTATCCTCCAAATGGATTAAAGACCTAAATATAACAGCTAAAGCTGTGAAACTCTTAGAAGAAATCATAAGCACAAGTAATTAGACAGTAATTTCTTGGATATGACACCAAAAGCACAAGTGATTTTTAAAAAGTAAGTTTTATTTAATCAAAATTTTAAAATTTCATGGTTTAGACAGTACCAATAAGAATGGAAAAAGGCCTGATGCAGTGGCTCTTGCCTGTAATCCCAACACTTTGAGAGGCTGGGGCAGGAGGATTACTTGAGCCCAGGAGTTTGAGACCTGTCTGGGCAACAGAAGATCCAATCTCTGCAAAAAATGGAAAAATTAGCTGGGTGTGCTGGTGTGCACCTGTAGTCCCAGCTACTTGGGAGATTGAGGTGGGAGGATCACTTGAGCCCAGCAGGTAGAGTCTTCAGTGAGCCATAATCAGGCCACTTAACTCTAGCCTGGGCAACAAAGACCTTGTCTCAAAAGAAAAAAAAAATAGGGAAAAGACAATCTACAGACTGAGAAAATACTTGCATATTATGTATCTGATAAGGAATTTATATCTAGAGTATTGTTTTAAACTCTTAAAACATTAATAAAAAACAATTACATAATGGACAAAGGATTTGAGTAGACATTTCTTTATGAAAATATACAGATGTCTAATAAAAACATGAAAGCTGGTCAGTAACATTAATTAGAGAAATGCAGATCATAAAACCACAATGAGTACCTCTTAACACCTATGAGGATTACTATAATTAAAAAAGAAAATAAATATTGGTGAGGATATAGAGAAATTTGACCTGAACATTGCTGGTGGAAATGTAAAGTGATACAGCTGCTTTTGGAAACAGTCTGGCAGTTAGTTTCTCAAAGTGTTAAAAATAGAAGTTACCTTCTGACTGGCAATTTCAGTCAAGTATACTGCATACTCAAGAGAATTAAAAAGCTGTGTACACCTAAGTTGTAAATGAATGTTTCTACTAACATTCTTCATAATAACCAAAAAATGGAAACAAATGTTAATCAACTGATGAATGGATAAGAAGTATAGCATAGCCATACAATGGAATATTATTTGGTAATAAAAATGAATTATTAAATATTTTATTAGAAATTATTAAAACATGCTATAATATAAATGAACTTCCTAAATGAAAGAAACCAATCACAAAAGACCACATATTGTGTGGTTCATTTGTACGAAATGTCCAGAATAGGCAAATATATGGGTAAGAAAGTAGATGAGTAGCCTCCAAGGGTTGGAAGTGAATGTGCAGTGGGTATGGGATTTTGTGATGAAAAGGCTTTAAAATTGATTGTAGTCTTCGTTGCACAACTCTGAATATACTAAAAACCACTGAATTGTACACTCTAAATAGGTGAATTATATGATACATGAGATATATACCAGTAACTCTTGTTTTCTCTCTTTTTTTTCTTCTTAAGACGGAGTCTCGCTCTGTCACCAGGCTCGAGAGCAGTGGCGCAATCTTGGCTCACTGCCATCTCAGCCTTCCAGGTTCAAGCGATTCTCCTGCCTCAGCCTCCTTCATAGTTGGGATTACAGGTGCACACCACCACACCCAGCTAATTTTTGTATTTTTAGGAGAGACAGGGTTTCACCATGTTGACCAGGATGGTCTCACTCTCCTGACCTCGTGATCCACCTGCCTGAGCCTCCCAAAGTGCTGGGATTACAGGTGTGAGCCACCCCACCTGGCCTCTCTTTCCTTTTTCTTTTCAAGAGACAAAGTCTGACTCTGTCTCCCAGGCTGGAGTTGCAGTAGCAGCATCATAGCTCGCTGTAACCTCAAACGCCTAGGCTTAAGTTGTTCTTCCGCCTGATCCTCCCAGGTAGCTAGAGCTGCAGGTGAACACCACCACTCCCAGCTAATTCTTTTTTTACATTCTTTGTAGAGATATGATCTGGCTTGGTTGCCTAGGCTGATCTGTAACTCCTGGCTTCAAGTGATCCTCCTGCTGTGGCCTCCCAAAGTGCCAGAATTATAGGCATGAGCCACCATGCCTGTTTTTTTAAGAGTTACGGTTGGAGCTTTTTATTTCAAAGTTGAATCACTAACAGCGTCTGACAGTTGCTGCATTTCTTGTGTTAAGTGTTCAAATTGAAGCAAGTTGATGATTAGGACCTTGCCAGTTTAAAACTTCATTATTTTTTTCAGGAAATGTTTTTCAAGTGTTTTATATATATATATATATGTATACATATATATATAGCAATTTTTTAAATTTTCAAACCATTACTGCATTTTTTTAAAATAATTTTTTAGATTTTCAAGTGTTATATTTTAACACTGGGAGTTCATTGATTTTTTTTTTTTAAACTTTAAAAATACCCCTTTGTCAATTTACTAGTTGCATGTATTTTGCTTAAATGTTGAATCTACACTTAGACGTTATTCTCTAGCTCTAGTTACAAATTCAGTATCATTGTGACCCTGCATTGCTAGGTGGGGCTTATTAAGGTTAGACGTAAAAGGTTTCGTATTTGCCCTAAAACTTGTGAATTCAGTCTTCGTCATGAGCATTTATCTTCCATTGGAATTCTACAGGGACTTTAGACTTGGAAAAGTGTTTTATAAACCTCATCTGTTATTAGAAATAATTATGAAAACCTTAAATTTAAAGATACCATAATAGAAATTACAGTTTGTGAAACTTTATACTTTTGAAGGTTGGAGACATCTTAAATAAAGTAGTGACTGTCAACTCACCCTGTAGTGACTTTGGTAACACCTTTTTTTTTCTTGTTTAATAATAAAGACAGGGTCTTACTGTGTTGCCCAGGCTGGTCTTGAACTCCTGGGCTCAAGCAGTCTTCCTGCCTTGGCCTCCCAAAGTGCTAGGATTACAAACATAAGCCATTGTGCCCAGCCAACTTTCATCTGATGCAGTATTGTAGTTTCTCTTATTAATGCTTTTATATTGTCACTACTCTTAACATCCTCATTGAAATTTTTTAAAAATTTTATCAAGTAATAATTTTTTTTAGCCCAGGTGAACATCTGATACAAAATAAGGAAAATTTAAATCTTTTTAACACCTATAGGGTTAAACACACAAAATTATAAAGTAAATTTTTTTTCTTTTTTTTCATTGCTTCCTATAAACAGACAGAAAAATTTTATGCCATCTCAGCCTTCCCCCCTACCCCCGGCAGGTACATTGATACCCATTCTTGGATTTATCTTCTGTGTTAGCAAACTCTGGTACTTAGGGGATTTTAGTGACGCTGGTGCCCTGGAGTGTCAGCAGTACAAGTTTAACAAGAGCTTTTTAGTGTATCTTCCTTACATACAACATATTAACATATTTTGGTAACAACCTTGTTTGTGTGTGAATTGATAGACATTTGCTTGCAGCCCTTGTTATGTTTTTTAATTACAGTTGATACTAGCTCAAAAATGAATTGGTGCTGGCATGCACTTGTGCTTGCTTGATAATGTTCATCACAGCCATTTAAAAAAAAAAGATTTTCTATTCTTAATTAGTGATCTGTTTCTGCATTGAAGGAAATTTTTTTTTTTTTCTTTTCAGCAGCCATGGCCTGAGAATGAAGGATAATTATTTACCTTACCTTATCGAATCTAGCATTTCTGAAAACTCAATAAGTACAGTTTAAGACTAAGTCATTAATTCCAAACTTGAAGTACCCCAAATTTATAAAACTATATGCAATTACATCATGGCATGGGATCTATTCAGATTTTATTATTGCCCAATAGACCATTCTTATGTGATGAGAGTGGATGTGCTTGTTTACTTTTGTAATTTTTTATGAGGATGTGTGCACATGCCAGAAAGGAAAAACCGATGCAGAACTACAGTTTTCTTACCGGAAATGCATTGACCAATGTTCAGTGTTTACCACAATGATATAGGAGAATGTCAGTGGTCTTTACTGTGTTAAATGTGACACACTGCATGTCTTTGCAAAGGGTATGAACTAGCCATAGAGGCTTATTTTAACTATCTTTACATGGAAATCTTGCCAGAAAAATGAGGGTGGTGGTTTTTGTTCAGTCCAGCTAGGTGATGGAATTTTGTTTGTTTTTTCAAGTGTGTTTTTCATAAAGGTATATTGACTCTTCAAAATTGATCGCTATATTTTGCTCTTGAGTGTCATTTCTCAATCCTAGTATTTTGGGTGACCTTCCAGGTCTATGCCTCATTTTGTGTATGGAATTACTAGAAAGAGGGTCTGTAGCTTTCTAAGATTATCAAAGGAATATATACTCCTTAAACAGATAAGAATTATTAAAGGGGGTCATTTGCCATTGCATAATTGATCCAAACTGTTGTACTTTGTTAATTTTTGCTCACTTTTGTGAACATTTGGTTTTATACATAGAAATGCACAATAAATAGCGGCTACAGAATGAAAGTTATTTTCTTCTTTCAGACTGTTCTGTTTTCTCATAGCTTTCAGTGTACCTTTGTCTAGAGCTGTCCTTTCTAAACACTTTTGCACAAATCTATCAGATTTATGTCATGAAGGAAACAAGTTCTTAATGAGACTCCCTCCTAAGAACTGTGTACTTTGATTTAGGTGTTACTTTTGTAGAAAGATTAATTTTTGTTTAAGTATAGGTTTAGTTTGAGTTAATACAAGGTTTACTTTCTGTGAAAAACTACTTTGAAGTATTAAAAAGACACTTGCAAGATTTGTATCTTGAGGAACACTCAGCCTGGTTTTCATTATTATCCTTTTAGGATACAGATGAGTTTATTTTACCTACTGGAGCTAATAAAACCCGGGGCAGATTTGAGCTGGCCTTCTTTACAATTGGAGGGTGTTGCATGACAGGTGAGTGTTACATACTTTTTTCTCAAGTTTACTTATTTCAAGTAGCAGAGGGTGTTTAAAATCAAAAGCAATTAGAATGTTGGTTTCACGGTGTTTTTTAAAAAAATTATTATTTACATTTGTCAAATGAAAAAGAATCAGAAGTATAGTTATGCAGTTTTGAGTTTGTTTGTCTGTTTGTTTTTAATATAAAGCTGTCTTATCTGGGTGAATTGTTATGATTTACCAGGGGCTGCATTTGGTGCAATGAACGGTCTTCGGCTAGGATTGAAGGAAACCCAGAACATGGCCTGGTCCAAACCAAGAAATGTACAGTAAGTCTCATGTAACCATCTGATGTAGTGATACTTGAATAGTAAGCTCTGTTTTGTTGGTTTGAGGAGTACAACCTTGAGATTACAAATGGTTAGTATATTTATATGCTTTTGGTCTTTTTGTTTTTTAATCTTAAAAGTAACTAAGGAATCAGATTGCTGACTCTAAGCTTTTAAAAAGAAGTGATTTTTTTGAGTCAGTGTCCCTTACGCAGCTAGTGCTACGTCAGCCTAACTTCTCAGCGACACCTGATACATTCTCTAAGCCTATATGACATGCTTTTCAAATTGTTGAATTGCTGGAATTTGGGATTGTTCAGGAGCATGCAGAGCCATAAGACATGGTAATGAAGACATAAGCAGCACATGAGAGTGATGCCGTCATTTAACTTGAACTTCTTACTGATTTTACTTTACATTTCTGAAATGATGAGCCAGATAAATTTTAAATAAAATTTTTAAAATTAGAGTTAATTCCAAAAGGATAAGACACAGTTTTCTGTTAGGAACTTGAAGTTGCAGAGAAGGGAATGTATAGTTAAAAGGATCAGAAAGGATGTTTTCACCCTACTTAAGAAGTAAACATGGCCAGTTCCTCTTGATACTCCTTAAACAATATGTTTAGTTTTGCCCATTTTCATGCTTCATACAAGTGTAAATCATGAGTATGTATTCTTCAAGTGGCTCACTGTTTTGTTTTAGGACACTTTAAACTCCATCTTTCATATTGTTCAGCCAGCAGATGGCACCAGATGTGCTAGAATTAGACCATGGGAAACTGGAAGGCCTGTTGTGGTGTTTCTTTGAGAGACGGAGCCTTATTGTGTTGCCCAGGCTGGAGTGCACCATCACAGCTCACTGCAGCCTTGACCTCCTGGGCTCAAGTGATCCTCCCACCTCAGCCTCCTGAATAGCTGGGACTACAGGCACGTGCCACCATGCCCAGTTAATTTTTTAATTTTTTGTAGAGACGGGGGTCTCACAGCTCAGGCTATTCTCAAACTCCTGAGCTCAAGCGATCTTCTTGCCTCAGCCTTCCAAAGTGCTGGCATTACACATGTGAGCCACTGTTAAATTTTTTATATTCCTGTTACTGTGTGGATCTCTGTCCATGCTTTAACAGTCTAGATCAGGTGTCCCCAAACTGCAGCGCCCTGAGGCCATTTATCCGGCCCACCAGCTGCACTTCAGGAAGGGGCACCTCTTTCATTGGTGGTGAGTGAGAGGAGCACGGTACGTGGCGGCCCTCCAACGGTCTGAGGGTCAGTGAACTGGCCCCCTGTGTAAAAAGTTCGGGGATGCCTGGTCTAGATCCTTCAATACTTTTATTATTTGTCCCTTGCTTCAATAACTTTTAACTTTTGCATTATGGGTAATTTTTAATATATAAAAGTAGATAAAATAAATAGCATAATGAACACATGAACCGTAACCCATCCTCAATAACCATCAGCCATGGCCAGTTGTGTCCCATCTCCTCCTCTCCTATCTTATTTTGAGACAAAAACCCCAATATCGTATTAAATGCAAATTTGGAAATAGATCACCAAGAAAAGACAACTTACTTCCTTTCTTAAAACAACAGTTATTAAAAGCTTGTTAAAAATGAAAAAATAATGGCTGAATTTAAAATATATTAGTTAAGTATGTAACATAATTAGAAACTATAGTTCTGTTTGTAAACATTACTGATTTTTTAAAACAACCTTTTAGAAGCAATATGTTATTGTTTCTGTAGAACACTAATTACATGAGTTGTTTAATAATTAAACCAAATGAGTTCCTTTACTCTTTGTTACTGTATTCCCATAATTTCCAGCAGTAGTCAGCCATCTGGACAGAACCATTCCTGGAATGGTGTTACACTGCTGGAAGAGGAATGTCTTCTCTTCATCCAGTTGTCTCTGCCACTGTTCTGATAGTGTCTGGCACTGGGGCAAGGGAGAGCTGTGCTTCCTTGAGAGTGTGCTGAGCATTCACCTTGGCTGCTTAGTTCTAGTCTGGGAGCAGACACATGGTGCTTTTCCTATGTATTCGAGTTAGATGGCTGCTGATATCCTTATATTTAATTCTACTGTATATTCTGTACTTTGATATTCTTTGATTGTCATAAATGTTTTAAGCATATGCTCCCCTCCCAAAAATAATCTTTTAGAAGCTATCTCATGATAATTAACAGTGGCATTTTTTACATGGATTCGTTTCTGTAAACCTCTTTATAAGATACATTCTAGGCTGTCATTCAGAGCCTTATATGTATTTAATATGTAGTCATTATACATTCAGTAATAAGAATTTGCCTATTATTGCCCAAAGTCTCCAAAGTTTTAACCTAATTTTCACTTACATAGAGTAAAAATCATCCTTAATGAAATCTGAGCTATTAAGATACATTTTAGAATTTAAAAACTTTGAGTCTTGAGTCTAGGCTTGTTAAATAGCTATTTTTATTGTTTTTAAAGATTGCTAGAGAAACAATGATTCTAAATACAGATTCTTTCTCTTTCTACCCTGGTAGGATTTTGAATATGGTGACTAGGCAAGGGGCACTTTGGGCTAATACTCTAGGTTCTCTGGGTAAGTAGAGATCTCGTTTGATAATAAATTGTTAACATAAAGAATATGCAAATATAATGAACAATTTGATCAATATTCTGGTCCTAGGATATGAAAGGATTGTGTTTAAATCCATTCCAATGCATAATGTAGATTACTTAGGGAAAGGCCATGAACTAACTTTTGAAATAATCTCAGGTGCTAATATCATTCTGAATACCATTTCTGAATTTTTAAAATCTTTTGAACACTACACGCTCTCCTTTCCAAGCACAACACCCAATAAAATGATGTTTAAACTAAATGAAATCCAGATAATTTAGGTCCAAAGTAAAGAGCTTTGTATGTTAGGCAAGGTTCAAGGTCCTGTAGTGAGATATGATCAATTAATCCAGCCCTCTTGCTATGTTTTCTTAATAGCCTGTTCATTAGTCTATTTACCTGAGTAGATTTCAGGCACCTAATTGCCAGAAGTAGAATAGGTTCTTTGTAGATAATGAAAATGTTTGTAGTTCTAGGCAAAAGGTAATTTAGTAGTGCTTAGTCAGAGCCTAATGCTTTCATATCGTATTGCTATAAATGATTGATGACTTGGAATAGATCTCTTATGGGTTATGCCCTGACATCCAAAATTTTCATATTGAACTTCATTGAAAGTCTGAAAATCTCAGTTTAAATTGTGGCAGATTAAGGAGGGGAAGACAAAGAAAACTCACTGAAAATACAGCAAAAGCGTCTGTTACGGCAGAGTAAGATCCTTGCCTTGTCACAGGATTTAAAAGCAGTACATCTTCACACCATAAAGCCAGCTTCCACATTTTGGATCCTAAGAGATGGCTGCTTTCATATGTTACTGATGCTTGCATTTCTCCCACCCTTCTACAGACTCACCCTCCTCTGTTCCTTTTAATTGTTTCTATATCTAGAGTAGTCAGCTGTCCTTGCTGCCTAGGACTTACAGAGAAAAGTCCAAGAAACCCCTGACCCAATCCTGGACAAACTAGGATAGCTGGTCACCCTCTGTGTATCCATTGTGGTATGATCAATAACAGTGTTCTGTTCATGATCAGTTTCAGTTAAATGAGTTGAAGGGAAAGATGAGCTTTCATAGAAGTATAAAAATAATCTTTTTTCTTATGCTAGAAATAGGGGTAGAGGTGTGTGTGTGTGTGTGTGTCTTCAAAGTACAACAATTATGGTAGCATATAAATGAAAATTTTAAATATTCTTCCTGAGACTTCCTAGCAGTACTTTCTAGAAATAGCTATTATTGATGTTTCTGCTGAATCCTTCCAGGCATTTCTCTGCGTAGCCAGTCAGTCATGTATCATGTGCATATGACTCTGCTTTACTAATTAGTGAAAACGACTCTTCTGGTTTTTAATTGACTATACAGTATTCCATTATATGAAAAGTCCCTTTCTGAATCAATTCAGATGGTAAATGCTCTTGATGGGCATTTTATTTGTTGCCAGTTGTTTGCTATTAGAAACTGTTCTAGTGATCATTTCATGTATATCTTTGGATAAATTTATCTAAATATAATTGCCATACTGACTTTTGTGTTAAAAAAAAAAAAAAAACAGTTCTTTCTCTGCTCTCACACTACAACAGTCAACACAGGATATTTTTGTGACCAGATATGTGGGAAAATTTCTCCACATACCAAGTAATCAGTTTTGCAGTGGACACCAGCTGGGTGTCCTTCCAGTTCAGTTCTGCCTGGAGATAGCATCAGAACAGCAGGTTGAGGACTCTGTCACCCAAAACTGAGCCCAATTTTGGATACTTCCGATGCTGATCGCAACCCCTAGATTATGTTACCTGTGTTTCTGACCAACCAGCTATGTCAGGGTTCCCACAGCCCCCTCTTTGAGTTCAATTAATTTATTATATTGGCTCACAGAACTCAAGGGAACACATACTTAACATTTACCAATTTATTATAAACAATTTTTTTTTTTTCCTTAAGACAGGGTTTTGCTCTGTCACCCAGGCTAAAGTACAGTGGAACTCACTGCAACCTAGATTTCCTGGGCTTAAGCAGTCCTCCCACCTCAGTCTTTCAAGGAGCTTGGTACTACAGTCCACATGCACCACCATCCCAGCTAATTTTTTTAAAAAATTTCTAGAGAAGGGATATCCCTGTTTTGTTGCCCAGGCTGGTCTCAGACTCCTGGGCTCATGTGATTCTCTCACCTCAGCCTCCCAAAGTGCTGGGATTATGGAAACTTTGTGTGCTACCATACCAGGCTGGATATTTGTAAAGGATACAAATAAACAGCCCAGTCAAGGAATACATAGATTGAGGCCTGGTTGGGCCCTAAGTACAGGAACTTTCATTTCGCTGGAGTTGGAGTGCACTGGCCTTCTGGCATGTGGATGAGTTCTTTCTCACTTTCCTGCAAGCTCCACGAGGTCAGCTGTCCAAAAAGTCCTCCAATCCCATCTTCTTGGGCCTCTTCTGGAGAATTGATTGGATAGGTATGACTGAAGCATGAACAGCCTTATAGAACTGTGACTGGACAAAAAGGGCATGCTCTACTACTAATAGATGGGGCGCAGAAACCCAGCGAGGCCTGTCTGCCCAGATTCTCCTTGGCCTTTCTGTGCAGCATTTCTTCTTCCTGGGTACGGGGTAGAATCTCTTCTGAAATGGGGGTCTTATGGCCTACAATGAGACAAGGTAGGTCATAGAATTTCTTTATGGTCAGTTCCAAGAAGACAGGTGGAGAAAGATTAGAGTCCTGCTATGAGAAGAAAAGGGAGCAGGTGAAAGGAGGACAGGAGAAGGTCAGAGAGAGAAATTCTGTTTTCTGAGGCCTGAAGTGGCCCAACAATATAACAGAAGACTTTCACCTTTGTCTCTAGGAAGCTATTCCAAAGCTGCTTCCAGAACCAAGGACAAATACCTTAACAAGTGATTGTTTTAGTCACTTAGAAGGGCTATGGGAGTTTTGAGCCAGGATCCCTGGATGAAAACCAATATATGTATATCATAATACCATACTTAATCACTTTTTTTGTCACTGAGCACTTCCGTTTCCTGTTTAGCTTTGCTCTATAGTGCATTTGGTGTCATTATTGAGAAAACACGAGGTGCAGAAGATGACCTAAACACAGTAGCAGCCGGAACTATGACAGGCATGTTGTATAAATGTACAGGTGAGTACTATGGAGAGCCATCTCTTACTACACTTGAAGTGCGCTTTTTTTAATTCATGGTTTTCAAGGAAACTACAGTGTTGCAATGTAGTCTAGTGTTCTCATCTTATGGTTATTTTGGTTTGTTTTGTTTTTTTAACTGTGGTTAAATAGCCATCTAAACCATTTTTTAAGTATACACTACATTAGTATTAATTATATTCCACCATTGTATAACCAATCTCTGGAACTTTTTCATCTTGGAAAACCTGATACTCTGTACCTATTCAGCCTCCTCCCATTTTGCCCCTCCCCTGAGCTCCTGATAATGTTATACTTTCTGTCTCTGAATTGGCTATTTTAGTCACCTCATATAAGTAGAATCATACAATATTTGTCCTTTTGTAATTGGCTTATTTTACATAGCATAATATTCTCAAGGTTCATTCATGTTGTTGCATGTGCCAGAATTCCCTTCCTTTTCAAGGTTAAATAATATTCATTCTGTGTATGTATACCATGTTTTGTATGTGCATTCTTCTACCAAGGGATGTTTAGGTTGCCTCTACCTTTTGTCTATTGTGAATAATGCTGCTATGAATATGGATGTACAAATACCTCTTCAAGATCCATATACATATATATATACATATACATATATATATGCAGAAGTGGGATACTTGAATCATATGGTTTGTGGTGGCTTTTTGACATTAGGAAGATAAGATTCTTTTCTGTATTTTTTTATTAATTTTTTAATATCTTGGATAGACTGGGCAATAGAATATTCAAAATTATTGGTTCTGTTTTAAACAATAATATGACCTTTGGCATCAGCATATTAAACTATCACAAGACACCCATAAGGTCAAAGCCCAGAAATGACTGCCCCTTAAGTAAATTTAGAGCCTCTTATTTCTATGATCATCTTACTCTACTGAGAGATCAACATGTTGCTCTCCAGGGTCAGATAATTTTCTTCTGTGGTAAATTTTTACTAGTTTAGAGGCATACATTCAAGTAATACCTAATTTAGTTTTTTTTATTAGGTTGATATACCTTTGGCTACTTAATTTTTATTTTATCAGAATAATCCACATACATTATTTTTTTAGGTTGAGGTTTTTAATCTTTTTTTTTAACATCTAAAATATTTTAATGATGTGCAACAGTCTGTTAAATACACTTCATCCTAATTCCCTGTTCCCAGTGGCAGCTATTTTAACTTTTTTTAGTTTTTTTTTTTAAAGACAGGGTCTCACTCTGTCATCCAGGCTGTAGTGCAGTGGTACAATCAAGGTTCACTATAGTTTTGACCTCCTGGGCTCAGGCGATTCTCCCATCTCAGCCTCCTGAGTAGTACAGGCACATGCCTCCACACCCAGCTAATTTTTGTGGGGTTTTTTTGTTTGTTTGTTTTTTGTTTTTTGTTTTTTTTCTCAGAGATAGGGTCTCACTATATTGCCCAGGCTTGTCTTGAACTCCTGGGCTCAAGTAGTCCTGCCTCAGCCTCCCAAAGTGCTGGGATTACAGGTGTGAGCTACCATGCTCAGGCTACTTTAATTCATTATTCTTTATTTTCATGTTTCTAAATAACAGTGTTATCTTGATTTTTCTTGACTTTTCAATCTTACATATTGTCTGTTGACTTCGTAAGAGGAAAGCTGTGTTAACTCCCGTAAGAATTGTACAAAATATTCTTAAAGTAGAAAGAAGGTCACATCCTTTATATAGGTTACCTCATTTACCATTCTCTGAAGGTAGTAGTCTGGTACTCCCTTGTTTCATAAATTAAGAAACTAAAATTCAGACAAGTTAAATTACCTTCACATGCTTACAGAGCTCTGTCCTGGTCTAGTGCATCAAACTCTAGTCTGAGTCCAAAGCCCATTGTCTTTGTCACCAAACCAAATTGCCTCCAGGACAATCAGGAAAATTTCTAGAAAAGGGAAAAAGGTAGTAAATAACTGTTAAACCAGACCTTAAGGATGGACTGAATTTTCAGATGTATCTGTTTGATCATAAGATACATATAAGGAAGGTGTGGGAGAAAAGTCTGGAAAGATAGTTTGGGCTAATGGCATGGAAAGCTAAGTAAGAAGCTTAAAATTAGACTGAAAGGCAGATTGTCATCAAAGGTTTTTGGACAATACTACAATTGTCTTTGAGGAAGATTAAGCTAGAAATAGTGAGTAGATAAGATAAATGGGAGGTAGAAGCCTAAAGTCAAAATGGTCAAGGAGAAGTATTATTACAGAAGTTGAAGAGACGGTGATGGAAAGGTAGAAATGAAAGATGACTGGGTCACTAGAATACTGTTTACTGCTTGGCGGTTTCTTCTTTCTCTGTTTTGTTATATTGTGGAAGCAATATATGGCAATAAAATTCACAATATATGTGACTTTGAATAGCGTAACAGCTAGCTATCCTGGGCTCCCTCCCCACTGTCCCATTTATCCCTTACTTGTCTCTTCCAGGTAAGACTAAACTCACTAAAATGTTTCCGTTGTTTTTTTTAGAGTTGGGGTCTTGCTCTGTCACCCAGGCTAGCAGTGGTGCCATCATGGCTCACTAGAGCCTTGAACTCCTGGGCTCAAGGGATCCTCCCACCTCAACCTCCCCAGTGGTTCAGACTATAGGCACATGCCACCATACCTAGCTAATTTTTTTCATTGTTTCTTTTTTTTGTTTAGCAATGGGGTCTTGCTTATTGCCCAGGCTGGCGTCAAGCAGTCCTCCCATCTCAGCCTTCTAAGTTGCTGGATTACAGGTGTGAGCCACTGTGCCCAGCTTTCGGAATTGTTTTTGACTCCTAATGGTACTGTGTCCTTTAGGACAGTTTTTTGCCACTGATTCTCAGTTGTTTGGGTGATTGCTTTTCTGTGGGTGGGAGGAATTGTCCTAGATTTCTTTGAGAATCTTATGAAAGTTTTAGAGAGTTTATAAACCCTGCATTAACAACTTAGTATATGTAGACTCTCTTTAGGAGAGTTGTGAAACTTAACTCTTTAGAAGTTCTATAAACACTTTGATGCTTATGATTAAACGAAAGTGCTGATATTTAGAAGGTAACAATCAAAATCCAGTTAAGCTAGATTCTTCAAAGTGGTTCTGCCTTCTTGGTGATTTGCTCCCTTGCCACTTTGATGACTCCAGATTCTACTACTCTTCGATTGTCTTTTAACTCCCACTTCACAGCCGCCTTCTTGCCATTACCATTTCCTAGAACAGTACTTCCAGACACCTACTTCACATGCTGCATCATTGTCCATCTTTGTTCAGATACCACCTTTTATTTGAGGCCTTCTCTTAAACACTGTAGTACATACAGTTTTGCACATACATCTTAGTTGTAGGATAAATTGCTTAAAAAACATTACTTGAGTAAATAATCTTCATGCTTAAAATGTAAATGACTAATGCCAAGTGGCCCTTCCAGTACTTGCTAACCTTTGCCAGTATTGTTCGTCTATCATCACTTTTTTTAAGCTAGTAGGTGAACAGTTTTAATGTTTTACTTTGCTTTGTCCTGGTTGTTAATGAGATTGAACACCTTTTATTGTTTAGTGGTTAGTGGTATACCCTTTCTCTCTTTTTTATCATATTGTTGATTTAACTGATTTGTTGGAACAGTTTATATATTATGGCAGTTAGTGCTTTGTCTGTTACATATTTTACATGAATTTTTACTTCCTGGAAAAATGTTGATGCCAGTAATAGAAACGTAGAAGGCATCAAGAGATTCTTTTTGGTATGTGACGCCTAATTCTCAAGGCCTGGTATTCAGTTTAGACATTGTTAAATAGAACCTCTTAACAGTAATCTTAATGAACAATTACCTAATTTGAAGAACTGGATTTGTGTGTGTGTGTGTGTGTGTGTATATATATATATATATTTATTTATTTATTTTATTTATTTATTTTTTTTTTACCTTAAATGACTTTGCTTTTAAGCCGACTTTCTTATGGAAGGAAGACGTAAGATTAATAGTTCGAGGTGTTTTGGAGAGGAAAGGGATTGCCTATATGTTTTGGTTTCTGATGACTTATTTCTGAAAATAAGTGATAAGGCTACCCTAAAATTCCTAAGCTTATTGTTGACAGCAAAACTACAGCTGTTTCTGTTCGAGTAGAATACTGATTATTAAATAGATACTCATTTGTCACAGGGAATCTATTGGCATTTCACATTTTTGGAGAAAATTTATGTAATTCATTAAAGAAGTATTAGACCTGAATTCAAATCACATGAATCATCAGAGTTCTACCTTTAAATTAGCCTTTTTGGACTGGGCATGGTGGATCACCTGAGGTCAGAAGTTTGAGACCAGCCTAGGTCAACATGGGGAAACCCCATCTCTACTAAAAATAAGAACATTATATGGGTGTGGTGGCAGGTGCCTGTAATCCCAGCTACTTGGGAGGCTGAGGCAAGAGAATCGTTTGAACCCGGGAGGTGGAGGTTGCAGTGAGCTGACATCGCACCACGGCACTCCAACCAGAGTGACAGAGTGAGACATTGTCTCAAAAAAATAAAACAGGCTGGATGCAGTGACTAATGCCTGTAATCCCAGCACTTACGGGAGGCTGAGGCAGGAGGATCACTTGAGGTTCAGGAGTTCAAGACCACCCTAGCCAGTGTGGTGAAACCCCATTTCAACTCAAAATATAAAAATTAGCTGGATGTGGTGGCACACGCCTGTAATCCCAGCTACTCAAGAGGCTGAGGCAGGAGAATCACTTGAACCTGGAGGCAGAGGTTGCGGTTAGCAGAGGTTGTACCTCTGCACTCCAGCCTGGACAATAGAGTGAGTCTTTGTCTCAAAATAAAATAGGATAAGAATTAATTAGCCTTTTTGATCTGATAGCTGCCAATTTTTTTCTCATGATCTTTCTATTAAAGTAGCTCTGTACCTACTATGTTAAAGCTCCTTTTTATTTTTTTTCTTTTCTATTGAGACAGAGTCTCTGACTAGAGTACAGTGGTGTGATCATGGTTACCGTCACCTCTGCCTCCTG